CTTCCTTTTCCAAGCTTAAATGCACCTTCCAAGGCTCAACTAGGAGATATGACGGCTAGGGCTTGATATCCAGGGCTAAAGAGGCAGTAAGGAACCCTAGGAAGAAGATTAAGACATTTATATAGGCCCCAAGTCCCGAATTTAGGGTTTTCCACGCACAGACCAGACTCGCCGAGTCACCTTGACCGACTCGCCGAGTCGGTCGCTTACACCTCGACCCGGATCCCGCTCGGACTCGCCGAGTCCCTCCTTGGACTCGCCGAGTCGGCCCTTTAATTAGGGCTTTTCTTTCCTTTCATGGGTTTTGAAACTTTGGGTGTTACATTTTTTCTCACTTTTTTCACCCAATACTAAAAATCCTAAAAAATATATGCTTAAGCAAGGGAACATAACTTCAACCCTTATTTGTTAAAGATATTAGTCTATGGTACAATGACTATATAAACTCTCCTGGATACATTTCTACTACACGATGCTAAAAATATTATGTCCGTTAAACTAAACAATGTCGTGTTTTTGTTCCATGATTTCGATGCGATAGGAAGACAAAAATACACTATAACATATATTGGCTCAAATAAACATCGAAACTCGCATCGGATCGTCCCGCACAACGCTAGCAACCTAGATCTCAACATAATAATACAACAAAATTTTTTAACTAGATTCAATTTTTGGATAATTTTTTCAAAATTTTCTAATAATTTTTTTAAAATTCTAGTCAATTTTAATTATTTTCATTAGTATGCTTGCATTCCTATGTTCGACCCCCTACCCCACACTTAAATGATGCAATGTCCCCATGGTATGCTTAAACAATTAAAGAACATAAAATTAAAGAGGGGAAATTGGAACAGACTCCTCTGAGATAGTAGTAGCGAGATCAAATTCTAAAACTTGAGTGGCAAAGCTTGGACTTCTTGTATAATGGTTGGAAACAATACTTTTAAGTTGTGAATGTAAATGATCTGGATGAAAATAAACGAAAGAACCATTCTTCAAAAAGTGTGTTGAACCTTAGTCACGGCGTGGGAAAGCAACGGCACGTCGTAGTGTCGTGTTTGAAGTCATCTTGATCATGAAATATAATATTGCCACGTCGTGGTAACAGGTATGATGCATTCGATCGAATGCCACAATGTGGAGATGATGGCCACATCGTGGTGTCTTCTCGGAATGCCTTAAAAAGCCAAAATAATGCATCGTTCTTTCTGAATGGCCATAGATCATTCCATACCTTTTCTTTTTGTAAAATTTATTCAAAACTCTTTTCTTCATCAAGTGGTGATGTGAATTATGAACATTGGTTTGACATGCGGAATTAAAGAGCACACAAAGAACACGGTGATTTCGGTGTTTAAGAGATGCATTCGATTATGTAAGGTGTTACAAAAATGGATCTGGATCTAAATCTAAATAATTAACACACACAATAATATCAATTTTACATCTCTCAAGCACACCTCTACATGTGGAATGAACTCACCTTATATAGAGGTGTTTACATCTCTCTTTCTCTCTCTCTCTCTCTCTCTCTCTATATATATATATATATATATATATATATATATATATATATATATATATATATATCATGTCACAAGGCTACTTTACCATATTCAAGTTGGTCTACAAAAGTCAAACCATTTACAAATTCATACATGGATAACTTTGTACCCAACAGTCTCCCCCTCAAAGTTAGGAATGGATGACTCGTTTCAAATCTTCCAAACTCGAGCAACTTCACGAACTGAGCCTCAAATGTGATACATGTAGAGATGAACATTAAATCTTCAATTCTTTCATGATTCTTCAATTTGGGTTCTAGAATATGAGACCATACGAACTGAGCATCAACAAATAATTAGGAGTTTCCCAATCTCCAAATAATCACCCTAAAGTTGAGCATAAAAGCACACCCCAAAAATTTTCAATAAGTCCAAACCCATCATGAACTGAAATCACTTCCGAATATCCAATCAAATCATTTCATAAACTTCAAATACTCGAGGTCACTTCGGTCTTCAAGTCTAAATAATATGAAAAATTCAACTTTCAAATTTCCATATAAAGCTCTCCCCATTTTTATAATCGAAAAATGATTATAAAACCAAGAAAGGAATGAGAAAGTGCTCAATTCGGAATTTCACTATCCAAAACTCTCCCTTAACACATGGCATAAACATTTTGCTTCAATCCATAAAATCCAAAAAAAATCTCCTATTTTTAGCTTTGTTCACGGACCGCCTTTGACAAAATTTCTCAAATTTGGGTAGAATTTGTCAATTTCAAAATTCTGCAGTGACCCGGTGCACCCAAAACAACCAAAAATGCGAATCTCTCACCCATTTGTGAACTGGATAGAAAGCATCAATTTGTATTAACTGTAGGGCCTGTTTCAAAAATTATCTCATTTCTCAAAAATTTCAGCCCAATGTTGAAGTTAGGTGAATTCTGCCAAATCTTCGAAACTTCAGGAACAAATTTGAAACTTCTGCACACTTCATCAAAATGTCGAAAACTAGTCCTTATTTCGAAAGTGGTTACAAACTGTCAACTTGTCGAAACTTTAAAGACCAATTTCAAAACTATGCCTTTTTCTTCCAAAATGTCCAAAGTAGGTCCTTCTTTTGAATATGGGTGTAAACTGTTAGATCTTCAAAAGTTTAAAGACCAATTTCGAAACATTCTGTTTTCTTCCCCAATTCATTTCGTTAACAATTGTGTATGTTGAATTCTTCGTCAACCAAAAGCGACATCAACCCAAATTACCCATGTCGATACCCAAACGATGCTCCCATTTCTAAGTCAATCAATCCTGCCATTTCGAAGTCATTAATTCACTACTCGACGTCACGCTATGACTATCGACATCAAATAGCAATTTCGAATAATAATCCTTCGATACATCGATTAACAGACCCATTCGAAATCAAAATTCCAAGCCATTATTCGAAACGGTTAACATAGAAATCAAAAAGTCCCAATTTTGAGTTTCCTGGTTTGACTTTGCAACGCTTTTCCAACGATTTCTTAAACAAACTCCTATCACCAAATGCGAACTCAACTATCAAACCTTCGAAATCATCATCTCAAATTATCTCATTCCCAGTTTTGATTTCGATATCACAGCTCAATATCAAATACCAAATTCAAATACCATTCCCAAATCGAATACACACAATCACATACTTCACTTCCAGAGAGGAACTGTGTCATTCGATTCCAAGCCTGGCCATTCGACATCTAAACTTTTACAGGCCCATATCCATCTTCAAAGACTTCGTTCAACTATTAACCCAATCTTCGTTTAACTCATCCCATTTTAAATTTCGACTCCAATAACTCAAATCATATTTCGATTCCAATTTCATTCGTCTCAAACTAATTGACCCGACATCAGACTTTGACTACCAAAATCAAATTTAACTTTTGACTCAACACACATACGTCATCGAACGATCTAATATACCATATCTTGAAGCTGATTTCGATCTTAAATTCAAATCAACTCAAAACGAAACTGAATTGTGACCTCTAACATCAAAATTACTTATTGGCATATCAAACTCAACAGAAGTGTTCGACATCCAAATCGAAAATCAACCTAATCAACAATCAACTCCATAATATATGACAATCAAAATTAGTCAAAGACTGAAATCGAATACTAGAATCTAAAATCAACTTCAAACAATTGATGATCGATTTTGTATCAAGAATAACCTTCAAGCAATTACTTTCGATATCAAGTAAGTTACAGTTATGATCGAATTTTGAGTTTTCGTTTGAAACTCATCAATAGACGGTATGTATTTGATGAAAAGTGCGAAAAGAAATTTAAGATGAACAATATTAATCTGGACTCAATATACGAACAATATTAGTTAATCAAATGGGATCAATTCAGCAACAAAGAGTCACGAATCGGATAACTGAGAATAAGCGAATGTAGTTCATCGGATTAGTTTTAATCGGACTCAATTACATGATTTGAACAGTAACAATAAAAGATTATTGTTTGGGCTCAATATTTTGGATCGAATGAATAAAAACATTCAACATTTTGGGCTTCCAATTATGAATTAGATGAACAAAAAATAAAAATGATTTTAGGCTCAAGATTTAAAACAAAATTAATGTTTGTTTTGGGATTGATCTAAAAAAAATTGTTGAATCACCAATGGGATTGAAACGGATTAGATATAACGAGTCAAGATGATCAAGAACTCAAAGAAAGAATCAACGAGATTTAGAGAGATCATAGAGAGACTCGCCATAAATGCTCCAATTGTGATGATTGTAGCCAAACCGAGAATCGTTTCTTCAAAAAAATCAGGTTGATCTTTGAAGATACGCTCTGATACCAATTGATGTGAATTATGAACATTGATTTAGCATGCGGAATTAAAGAACACACAAAGAACACGGTGATTTCGGTGTTTAAGAGATGCTTTCGATTATGTAAGGTGTTACAAAAAGGATCTAGATCTAAATCTACAAAATTAACACACACTAACACTCTCAATTTTACATTTCTTAAGCACACCTCTACATGTGGAATGAACCCACCTTATATAGAGGTGTTTACATCTCTCTCTCTCTCTCTCTCTCTCTCTCTATGTGTGTGTGTGTATCTATCTATCTCTCATGTCATAAGGAAACTTTACCACATGCAAGTGGGTCTACAAAAGTCAAACCATTTACAAATTCATACATGGATAACATTGTACCCAACAAGTGGGAACCCCACACTTATTCAAAAATATGGTCTTTAGTTATAATCTTCTAAAAATCTCGCGACTTCTTCATCTATTAAGCTCCTTCACTACTTCACTTTCATTCAATACTACACGATAAGATCAAAGACTAGAGAAACACATCATCATTCGGTTAAACTAAAATAAAACTATAAGTGAAAATAAAAGCTAAAAAGAAATCAAAAAGCACGAAAATGAAAACTCTTAAAACATCTGGTTGCCTCTCGATAAGCACTTTTTTTAGGAGTCGTGATTCATAATCCTTACTTTGTACCTTACGTTAAGTGGAAGTGTAACATCCTCGTTCTTCATAATCTTGAACCTTGCTTGTTTGTAGGTGACCCTTCTGTTGAATGCCATTTTTGAGTTTTCTTGTACTGTTGGGTTGACACCTTCTTTGTTCTTTCGCTTGAGTTTTTCCTTCATTCCTGCTTCTTTAGCTTTAGTCTTGTCTCTCTTAGGGTTCTTCTTTTCAAAATTGGACTCATCACTCTCTTCTTCTTTTTCTTCAACAGTCTTCAAGACTTGATCTGGAGGTCTTATAAAAGCAAACACCTTGATAATCATTGGATTTTACAGAGACTTCAAATAATTCACTTCCTTTTCCAATTGCACTTTGGGAAAAGGCTCCTCCTATTCCTCCCACTCTTCTTCTTTTACATATTCAAACTCATCATGCTTAAGGAACTTTGTGTTTTCTTGTTTCACCAAATTTACATTGGCACGAGATAGGTAAGGGAGAAGTGGTGCATACGGCTCGACGACAGAAAAATCATAGTATTCCTTTAGTGCCTACGTCATGGTACTATCCCATCTACATCGTGGAGACTGGGCAGAGTCACGATTCTTCTGTTCTTTTGCTTTTCCTTTAATTGATTGATTAGACTGTCCTTCTAGTGAATCAAGGAGCCCCATATGCACCAATTCCTCATCTTCTTCTGTATAAACAGCATAACTTGAGAGATTAAGATTGGCTCGACTTTTCTTGAAGGTGAATTCGGTATATTTTATTGCAAAAGCTTTGTTAATTCCTCGACTTGCATGTAGATGCTTAAAAAAAATTCTTGTTGTTACTTCAATTTTATATATGTAGCATCATGTTGTTTTTCGCTAGCTTCCATAAATCTAAATAGCATTGACTCAAGAGCAGCTATTTTCTCGGATTGGACTTGTTCTATTGGGTAGAGATCATGCTTTAGTTGTTGAACTTCTTATGTATTTCGATCTCTCTTATACTCTAATTCACAATCCCTTGTAAAATGGGGCCCCCCACAAGCTCCGCATCTATCTAGAATTTATCCACCCATTTTTGTTATCCTTTCTTCCATTGCGTCGAGATTTGTAATTACTGAACTGATAGCATCTTGACCTCCATCTTTACTTGATTTTTCTCTAGTGAAATCCTCCTTTAGGTTGCAATACTCTCTTGAATGCTTAGTGAACTCGTCAATCAAAGCTTTATTTGTTGTCGGATCCTTTTTATTCATGGGCCCTTGAGAGACCAGAAGTTAGCGGGTGTACACATTGACTCCATCATAAAATATTGAGATTTCTTGTTGCACATTGAAGTCATGTTGAGGGAAATGTTGTAACAATATCTTGTAACGCTCCCAGGCTTCGTATTGCGACTCCCCACTCCTAATTATTAAAAAATATGTATATTTCTTTTAAGGTTCGCCACTTTTGAAGGAGGGGTAAACTGGTTTATGAACTCAGTCTTAAAATCAACTCATGTTGTCATTGATCCAAAGGGAAGTGTTTTTAACCATTATTTTGCTTAACCCTTTAGTGTGACCGGAAAAAGTCTGTAAAGACCCAAAAATCAAGGGTAAAATCTCATTTTTCAATATAGTCAAAACACATATATCTTTGAATCCAAACATTCCAAAAGCATTACTAATTCAAAACATTTATAAGAGTCATCCCAAAATCACATAATGAAGAAAAACACAGGTGTGTGTGTTGCGATCAAGCTGATCCCTTCCTTTCCAAAACAATGATACTTGGAACCATAAACAAAACTGTAAGCACGAAGCTTAGTGAGTTCCCTAGAGAATACCCCCACATAATCACATAACCATATCAATCGCATAACCATGCATATACACATATAGAGATGTCATGGAAACCCTCCAAGGTCTTATACACCTAATCACATAAATCATATCAACTACAGAAGTTATGCATATAAACATATAGGGAAGTCATGGAAACCCTCCAAGGTCTTACATCGGGTGCCACTGGAACCCCCGCTTGGTCTTAGCCCATTGTTATGGGAACCCCCGCATGGTCTTAACCAGGAAAGCCATGGAAACCTCCACATGGTCTTATATCCAATTGCCTCAGGAACCCCCCGGGGTCTTCCATACCAATATCATATCAACATAACACATAATCAATTAACATTACACATATACAAACCCTACAAGCTATACATACAACATATAAAGGTATCATGGAAACCCTCCATGGTCTTACACCGGATTCCATAGGAACCCAACATGGTCTTAGATCACTGCCATGGGAACCCCCACATGGTACTAGCCTGGAATGCCATGGGAACCCCCACATGGTCTTATATCCAACAGCCTCGGGAACCCCCCGAGTCTTCCATGCAAGCAACACATAGTCAAATAGCACACCACATATCACAGAAATATCTAGCATACCACATATCACATAATAGCTAGCATACTACATAACACATATAACTAATTGCCATGGGAACCCACACATGGTCTTAGTCTACTATCGGCGTTGGTGCCTTAGACCCATTGGTATGGTGAGGAGACTCACCTCGCACTGCTGAAGTCCCGCGGACAAAACTCTAGCTGTTGGATGACAAATTCTCGAACTGTCAATCATCAAAATAGCACCCAATCAGTAATTGGGTTCCAATGCTCAACCACAACTCTATACTTGGGGTATGGAGACTCTCTTACCCCTAACCAAGTTTGATTCAAAACAAAGGCACAAACTCACACTTTAAAAGCCTAAAAGCCCAATAATCAACCAAGGCCCAACCTATGGCCCAATTTTCCAAATGTGGCCCAAAATTTTACATGGGCTTGTCTTAAGGCCCAACCATTTATTCTAGTCCAAACAATTGGCATTCTAATGGCCCACTAGCTACTACCCTCAAGACCCAATTATGGCCCACTTATGGCCCAATTTTTCAAATTGGACCTAAGCCTCTCTAATAGGTCTTATACTAAAGCCCAATAATTTCCTTAGTCCGTAAATATGTTCCCAGTTGGCCCACAAAGGCACCCAACAGCTTAGTCCAATAAATAGACCAATCAGAACCCAAATCCAATTAGGGTTTTTCACATAAAATGACGATTAGGGTTAAGTGTTTCTTTTCAACCCAATAATGAGTTAATCCATTAAGTCCAAACATACAATGAAATCGGGCTTGAGTTATAACTTCACTCCAATGGTCCAAAATGCCGGTCCCGATAGGTCCAAACCAATAATCCTAAAATTAGGGTTTTCTAAACCCTAATTAGGGCTTCCAACCCATTACAATCCAATTAGGCCCAAAAGCTAAGTCATTAGGCCCATTAGGGTTAGCCTCTTTTGAATCTAGGGTTTGAGGTTTTGACCTTTTGGATGGTCTTATCGGGTAAATTTTGAAACTTTATCCTTCTAGACTTTGTTTCGGACCAGATCTGAAATTTGGAGCCTATGGAATCGAAGAAAACGGCTTCATCCATTACGCTACTAAAACCCCAGTGCCCACAGCATGGCTCGAGTTGCCACAACATAGTGGTGGGGAAAATTGCGACTGATTGTTACTAGAAGGCCAGGGTGTGGCCATAAGTGGCTATGACGTGACGATTGACCAAAGTCAACGATGGTCGTTTGCTTTGACATTTGACCTGAGTTGACTTTTGGTAAAGCAGCTATTTTGGAGGAAGAACTCAACGTTTATTTGGTTTGACTGATTAGGTGGTGCGTAGCAGTGGTACTCTGTCAATGAGAGCAATAGCAGTAGAGCACTTTTCTGTGAGGTAAGTCTTTTCGCTCACTGGTGGGCTGAAGGCACCAATGTCAACCCACTAATACGTATGTGTAGAATGTATGTGACTATGTCACTATTACTGATATGATTGTATGATATATGCATGGTGCCAATCTGGGCTCGGAGTCATTATGGACTCGAGGTTGATACGGACCTGAAACAGCTACTTGTTGTTAAATGGGGTTGATACGGACCTGAAACAGTCACATGTTATTATATTTATGTGTATATAGTATGTGGTATTTAGGGAAGCTCACTAAGCTTTGTGATTACAGTTATGTTTATGGTTTCAGGTACTTTCGGTATGAAAGGGAAGGGCCTGGGGTGATGGCACAACATTCTCCCCCTCATGTTTCCGCAATTATGATTTATTTTACTCTAATGTTTTGGATATTTTATATCTTGGATGTTTTCGAGACATTTTATGTATGGGATTGATGAACTTAAAAATGAAAAATTAAACACTATTTTTGGGATGTTACATTCATGTTTCCTTTTCTTGGAATTTTGCACATTCTCTTCTTTTTTTAATCATATTCGTCGTCAAGATTAACATGGAGGGGTATATTCAAAAAATGTATCATCCTCCTAAATCCATGTCTCAGCGGAATGGAGGCTTTTTTTGTAACACCCGTAAAATTCCAACTAATTTAAACTTTTCAAAAACAACCCAGTTTCGTTAAGTTATTACAAAAAGATTTTCAATACAATTATTATCAGAGTCTTCCCAGAACCATATCATAAAACATAAACATGAGGAGAGGTACGATCATGACTTTGCCTTGCCACGGTCTCCTGAAGTACCTGAAACATTAAACCACAACTGTAAGCCCGAAAGCTTAGTGAGATACACCCAAAATACCAACCACATATACCATACACATAACATATCATAATAGAACAGCCATGCACATTGGGTGTACTGTGTGATTGGTTCGCCTCACCGGGCCTTTAGTCCCCCTGGTCCACCCTCCGAGTCTAGCCATATCCATCGAGTCTGCAGTGTAGTTGGTCCGCCCGCACCAGGCCTTCAACCCACCTGGTCTACTCTCTGAGTCTACAGTATGACTGGTCCGCCCGCACCGGGCCTTCAGTCGGCCCGGTCCACTCTCCGAGCCTTGGCACGTCTGGTCCGCCCTCGTCGGGCCTACAGCCTATCCGGACCGCTCGTTGGGCCTTTAGAATATCCGGTCTGCCCTGGGTATGTTGGCCTACAACACAAAGTAGGAGCCGCCTCAACCCAACCACAGTCAACCAACCATGTGCACATAAACATATAACCATATAACAATTAATCATCAATCAACCTATCTAGCAGATTACATACATAGGATACTCTAACCAGGATACCGACCTTAACCAGGTTTCTAACATATACCATCCTAACTACAAGGATGCAAGCATATAACAATGCAATAACATAGCAAATAACAGTTACCCGGATTTCCATCCGATAAAGGGCCGGCCTTGGTGCCTTAGACCTTGTCGATATAGTGAGGATAACTCACCTCGCAACTGCTAACTGAAGAGATAAGATCACGCT